GAGTCCGCCGGTGCCCGGTGCAGGGCTGCGAGTGACCCGGGCAGCGCGAGGCCGAGGGGCCCGCCGAGGGGTGAAAGCGGCTTTCAGGCGGGGGCCAGTCTCGGGCGGTGGGCAGAATTAAACACAGCGTGGTCCTTGGTGGCCTGGGCCCGTGACCCACCACCCAGCACGGTGCCAGCACACTGGCCTCGCCAACTTCTTCCTTGAAGCATCCCCGAAGAACGCCGTTTTGTCACACGGATGGTGCCCCGGGGCGCACAGCTCCTGGCTGCTAGGAGGGTCCACACAGCATCCAAAGGGTCCCTACAGCGTCTGTGCAGTCACAATCCTTTCTCCTGATGGGGCGGTGGGTGACAAAATGCCGCTATAGAGATGAACAGAATCGGAAACCTGGGCCCTGTTGGTTGGTAGTCTGATAGATGTAGGTGTTGGCTGGATTTGAGCCGCTGGGGGTGTGCCAGGAGCCCTGGGCTGTGATCTGCAAGGTCAGTGGTTTGAGAACACCAGCCACTCTGAGGGAGGACCAGGTTTTCGATTCCTGTAAATAGCCTCGTAAAATCGCAGAGGCAGTTTCACCCCGCCCCACAGGGTCAGCATCAACTCGATGGCAGTGAGTTTGATTTCTGGTCCGAGGATATCCTGCAGGGCAGTCCTTGGGTGGCCTGAGTGATGAAGGGGTTCGGATCCACCCATGGGTGCCTGCGAAGAGAGGCCTGGTAGTCTGTTTCAGAAAGGTCGCAACCATGAAAACCTTGTGGATCCATTTTACCTGCACATCTGGGGTCGGTGACTCTGTCAGCTGACTGGCAGAGGAAGGGCTGAGAGTCATCTCTCAACTCAAGCCTGGGAAGTTGAAAACAAGATGCCCCACCTCCTAGATCAGTGGTTCTCAAACTTTCTAAGGCCGAGACCCTTTAATACAATTATTTTTGTTGCTACTTCATCACTGTAATTTTGCTACTGTGATAATCAGGTGACCCCTGTGAAAAAGTCCTTTGACCCCCCAAAGGGGTCACGACCCACAGGTTGAGAACCACTGTACCTAGAGGCATGGTCTTGAGTAACTAGCTCTCTTTGGACTTTGGTTTCCCCACTCGTGGGCAGGTGACTGGCTGGCTGAGCTCTGGTTCATATTTACTATTGAAGAGCTGAGGCTGAGGAGTTAGTGGGTCCCTGCCTCCTGCCCCCAGGAGGGTCCCCATGGCTGCCCACTGCAGAGCCCTCCTCTGTGACCAGCACCCTGCTGGCCTGCTTAAGTCTCAGCAACCACCTGGGAGGGGTTTTGTGTCCAAGTTCCTAGACGAGGAACAAGCCCAGGTGATCTCCAGGGCCTTCGACTCACCGCTCCTCGCTTCTCCCTGCTGAGCGTGGCCGTGGGGAAAGGCTTTGCAGATTTGTTGTAGGGACTTGGGAAATAATCCTCCAAGGGTGCGTTTTCCATGAAAGCAAAGGTCGTTCAGGGCAGACAAGAAGGAGAAGGGATGAAGTGCATTGAGAGAGAGCAGTCTTCCTCCTGGCTAGGATGAGAGACTGGGCTGATACCATGGCTCTGGACCAGACTTGGAAGGAGATGGAAGGGGAGAAACCGAGTTCCCAGTACAAGAGAGGAAGGCAGCCGGCAGCCCGTGGGGGAGGGTGGAGGTGGCCCACTGCTGAGTCTTGCTCCTGGAGAAGAAGGCAGCCGCAGCCCGTGGGGGAGGGTGGGCAGGGCCCACTGCTGAGTCTTGCTCCTGCCCTCCTATCCCCGTGCACCCCTCCTGCACAGATACACCCAGTGTGTCAACACCCCATGCTCGCTTTACATCCATTCCCTCCTTTGCGCCTTCTTCTCTCACACCCCGAATGCCCATTTTTACACACATTCACAAGACCCCCTCAGAGCTCAGCTCACCTGGCAGCTTGCTGCCCCTGGGCTGATCCTCAGCATTGGCCACTGCTGTCCCAGAATGCCATGGTCTCCTCTGCTTGGTCTGTGTGTGTGCCTTACTTAGGGAGTGCTGTCTCCCTTCAGGATCTTGATGGAGCTTTTGAGGGTGCAGAAGTCGGGCCCCACCCAGGAGGTTCCATCCCAGCCTGCAGGTGACCAGGACTCCTGCTGGGTGTGGCTCAGACTCTGCTCACCAGGTTTAGGTGGGGGCACTTGATCGAAGTTGGATGGAAGAAGTGAAATAGCAAAGTGGTCAGGACAGCCATAAAAACCAACTAGACCAACTGCAGGGACTTCGGGTCTGACTCCCAGCTGCTTTCCAAAGCTGCCGGGAGTCAAATGGGCTGCCAGGCCGTTCCCTGCAGAGCAGCTGGGAGTTCTAACCATCAACCCTTTGGCTAGCAGTTGAGAGTAGAACGGCCCCTGCCGGTTTCCACAGTGTCGTTCTTCATGGGAGTAGTACCTTGGAACAGTATGGGTCTTGCAGGTTATGTATAGGAATTCCAGGCCTGAAAACTGTTCATCATTTAGAAATTTTGCAGAGCGGTTAAGATGAGGGCAAACCTGTCAGCACGTGAAGGTTCTGGGTCGCAGTGGACAGGAGGGCGAGTCAGCACTTGGGCAGCATAGCTTGTCTCCCTGTTTCCTGGTCTCCTCTTTCTGTATTTAAGCAACTGGAAGCCATTCGAGTCAAGGTCACGTCTGGAGAGACACAAGGTCAGGAGAGGCACATATCCACACTGGCCACCATCCCGCGCAGAATAACTCGGCCCAGCACAGCACCCGGAAGGAGCCCTGGCCTGAAGAGGCTCAGCGTCACCGGGCCTCAACTGCTCAGGCTCCAGCCTCTCCTGAGAACCAGTCCACAGCCGTCTCACCTGAGCCACTCCCCGCAGCCTCCCATTCAGGTGTTGGTGCGGAGGCCACTGCCCACCCTCAGCCCAGTCTCTGTGAAGATAGCCACGGCCCCCAGGGCTCCAGGTGGACAGGGGGCCCCCGCCCTGCCCCCTGAGTCTCCCAGCTCCGCCAGCGTGTCTGTGTCCAACCTGCACACAAAACACACTGAGAAGCGAAAAACATCTTTGCATGTGAAAACCCGGTCCGGCCGGATCTCTCGACCCCCCAAGTATAAGGCCAAAGACTACAGATTCATCAAGACAGAGGATCTGGCCGACGGCCACCTGTCGGACTCGGACGATTACTCAGAGCTCAGCGTGGAAGAGGATGAAGGGCCAAGGGCCAAGGTGGTGCTCTTTGACTCCTCCACCTGTCCCCTGCGGCCCAAAACCTTCAAGTGTCAGACCTGTGACAAGTCCTACATTGGGCAAGGGGGACTGGCCCGACACTTCAAACTGAACCCAGGCCATGGCCAGTTGGAGCCCACGGAGCTGCTGCTGCCCCAGAGAGCCAACAGGCACCACCCTCTCAGGCGCACCAAGGACTGGCCTGTTAGCCGGGCTCCCCTGGAAGCGTCCACTCCTACCGAGCTCCGTGACGAAGGGGTCCTCTCCCAGGGTGCCACGGCCGCAGAGCCCATCCAAGGCAGACGGCAGGTAACCTCTGTCTGTGTGTCAGTTTCCTTACCCACCCCTTCCTGTCTGCCCTCCCACTGCACCCCCGATGGTGTCAGCTGAGGGTTGTCAGTCTTCAGCCGGACTGGAATCGTCACTGTAGGAGCCCCAAGAGTGAGCACCCAGCCAGCCTCGAGACGACAGGCGTCGAGGGAGTGTGAGGCAGAGCAGCAGGCTCTTAGTCCCCAGCACTGCCCTGGTCTGCTGCTGAGGTGACAGGGTCTGGGGGAGGTCGGAGCTAGGGACGTCGTGGTGGAAGTCGCTTCCACACACAGCACATCCTTCCCGTTCGTCCCTGCTCCTGCTCCCCTAAAGCAGCAGATGGGCGACGTCACCAGGAGGTGGCCACAGTGAGATTTAATTCCTGGAATTTCAGGCCTGCCTTCTGTGACATTCACAGTGGATGTGGTTGTAAGGCGACAAATGGATCACTCCGGTCTGTGTGCCTCATCCCACTCTGCTGCTCCTTCCCTGCTTGTGGTTGTGTGTGTGTGTTTGTCTGTGCCCTCGGTGGACTGATTACATTCGTATTAAAGCTTTGGAAATGTGAAGCAGGAGAGCCAGCAGTGGAATCAGTGTGCTGTTTGATGGGAGTGTGTGACTAGAGGCAGGGAAGCTGTGCGGAGTGAGGGCTTGCCACCCAGGGACATTGCAACGGGCAGGGGACCCGGAGAGCTGTAGTAAGACCCAGTGCCAGGGCAGCTCTTCAGCAAACATTCATAAGCAAACGTTCATAAAGCACTGTTTGCTGGTGTCGTTGCCCCGAGAGCAGCAATGTGTTTGTTCCCTTGTGCCGTTGGCTGCTCTCCACAGGCTCTATGCCAGCAGGTCTGATCAGTGTACTCAACTCTGCAGCGGCCCTCGCCCTCAGGGTCGACCTCTGGCTCCTATCTGACACGAGCCCCTGAGGCTCAGCAGGGACAATGGCTCCCTGGCCTCCCAGGCTCTGGCACATCTAGGAGTCAGTCCAGGGGGGATACGAAGACCCTAGTCTTCTCTCTCCCTCAGACCAAGCTGCCTCTTAGGAGGTTCTCAGCCTGTTAGAAACCCAACTTCTTTTTTTAAATACTTTTATTGGGGGCTCTTATCACAATCTATACATTCCTCCAGTGTGTCAAGCACATTGGCACATATGCCGCCATCATCATTTTCAAAGCATTCTCTTCCCTCTTGAGCCCCTGATATCCGCTCCCCATTCCTGCCCCCCTCTCCCCCGCCCGCTCTCCCTCACAAACCCTTGATCAGTTATAGATTATTTTTTCCAGAAACCCAACTTCTATAAAACCTTTCTGCTTCTCTTCTGGAGCTGTCTGGGCTGTTGGGGTGGCTGGATTTCAGAATCAAATCTCAGATCTACTGACAGTTCACCTGGGATGTAGAAGTCCTACAGCACGCCCGAGGCTTTGCCCTATACTACTGGCAGTAACTATAGCCTGCGTTTGCTCAGGAGCCATTTGGAAAACAAAGAAAATGTTTTTCTATTTTCCTGTTAAAAGCTTCAAGGGGTCAATGCAGGTTTCAGCTTTTGGACCCTGGAGTTTTCCTTTCTGGATCTGTGTTAGGCCTGGTTGTCTAGAGAAACAAATCCAATGATATACATATAAGAAAGAGCTTTATATCAAGAAATAGTTACACATCAGAAGGGCATCCCAGCCCAGTCCAACTCAATTCCATAAGTCCCTCTCAGACTCACGCAGCTGCAGGCCGGTGCCGCGGAATAGTGACTTAGGAACCAGGGGGATCTCGAGCCGGTAGGCACAGAGACATGTGGATCCAAGGTTCGTGGGAACAGGGCAGGGCAGTCCCCAGGGGGATCCCCCTGGAGGCGCACAGAGAGGGGGAGGTTCCCATTGTCCCCACTTATAGAAGGCCACCCCCCCAAGGAGGCATCATTGATCGGGCTGTGACCTGATTGACAGGTTGGATTCCCTCCCTACACTTTCACAGATCTTCCAGTTGACGTGAAATCTAACTGTCACCAGGTCTCGGACAGTCGGTGTGCTGTTTTCACTGAAGTGAGTGGGGAAGATGGAACGTCCAGCCTGCTAGGAGTACACAGAGGGCTGCTCGTGGCCCAGGGAACAACTGAGCGGAAAGAAGTAGAGAACTGTAGGAGAGAGTCTGAGATAACAAGCCAGTGCGACTAATGGTCCTAGGGAGTGGCCTCCGGGGGCTGGGCATCCAGGCCCCATGCACAGCGGAAGCTGTGGTTTCCTGAGGAAGTGGGGTTCCTAAGGCAAACTGTGATGTTCCCTGTCCCAGCTCTAAATAGAACAATGGTGAGTTGTGTGCCGATTTGGGGCTTGTCGACGGATGATCCCGGATGATCGGTCTTTAGTTCTAATTGCCTGTTCATTTCATTCACAACTGCTGCCTTTATCAAGCCCTTGCTGTGTGGCAGCTTAGCCACCTAAAACCTTGGTGCCCCATACTAAGGGAGGCCAGGCTCACCTCGCCCCATCCATAGCCCCTACTCTCCCAGTCTCATCTCACCCCATTACCACCACTATCCCCACTGGGTAGATGCAGAAGCAGAACCTCAGTCAGGCTCACTGACTCGCAGCAGGTCAGCCTGCAGAGGAGCAGCGAGACTGAATCCAGGCCGGTGGCGTTGGCTGAGTAGGGATATGTGAGGGCGTTCTGGGGTCTGTGAGCCCAGCCAGTCTGCACCTCAGTGACCGACGTGGTGCTGAAGTCAGCACCTCTGTCCCACAGAGAATTTGGGGACTTTTAAAACAGGACTTTTTAAACAACTCTTATAGGGGAGAATTTTCCAGACCCACACAAACAAGTGTCCACCAATTGGCAGGCCCTGTCCTCGGTGGGTGTTGAGCACACTGTGTCAGGAGGAAGACGGGGGCCCCCATGCGCACAGTGTAAAATCAGTCCTGAGAAAGGGGCAGGCAGCGCAGGGGTTGGCCAGCAGAGCTGTCTGTGAGCCTCCCTGGTGGCTGGCGTGACATTCACGGAGATTTGAGGCTGAGCAGTGCAGGAGACAGACCCCTGCCGACTGTCCCACCCGGCCGGTGGGGTAGACGGATCAGGCTCTAACCTTGGGTGTTTGGAAGTTGGAGTTCAACATTTTTGTCTTACAAGTCCCCGGTGGCTTGGCTGATGGTTAGTGGCCATCGTGCTGCCGTCTGAGGCCCCTCCCAGCCTGCCTCACAGTCCCGTATGGCTGTACAGAAGCACCTGGTGGGAGGCTGGGCTAACCAGTGCCCTCACACAGGCTAGAGACTCAGAGGTAGGTCAGGGCCTCGGTCAGTTTGATTGCTTCTTGGTTGGTTAGCGCCCAATGATCCTGCTCCTTGGCTTCTAAATGAACCTCTTCTGGCACGCGTGTGCGTGTGTGTGTGTGTGTGTGTGTGTGTGTGTGTGTGTGTGTGTGTGTGTAGTCTGTACTTTCTGTAGCTCAGAAGGGATTAGGTGTAGGCCCCACCCCACACTCACAACCTCAAGAACATAACAGAAACCCTAGTTCTACACAGTTTCCTATCTCCAAGCACATGCCAGGGAGCCCCAAGTCATTCCATCCCTCAGTTCCCAGAGCTGCCTTGCCCTCACTTCCCACCAGCCTGCGGCATCTCACCCATCCCAGGCCAACTGCCCTCTGCCCACTCCTGTCCCTGGGGCCTGGAAGCCCCTCAGCCCCTATGTCAGGGCAGAATCGTCTTCTCTGCCTTGCCTCATGTGGTCAAGGCAGCTCTGGCTGCTAGGTGCCAGGATGGGACCCCAGAGGCGCCCCGACTCCCCTTTTCCTCCGCTATCCTCTGTTTCCGTGGTCTCTCAGCACTGACTCTGGCCACAGCCTCTCAGCTCCCCCATCCCTGGGGCCACCCAAACCTCCTCTGGTAAGAAATCCCAGCCTGATGCCCTCACAGGCTGGCCACCTGGCCCTGGCTGCCCTTTGGGGCTACTGGCCACTCTCCTGAACCCCCACAGGCAGGCCTGTCTGCTAGCTGGAAGCCCCAGAGGGGAGGGCACTCAGGTCCCCAGAGTTCACAGGGTCTCTGTCGCATCAGCTTGTTGAGAGGCTCCTGGGTGCCCAGAGGCGCCCACTGCCACCCCGTCATGATTTCCCAGCAGTGTGATCCAGAGGGGCTGGCGGCCCCGGCCCTGCCTCGGCGGAGTGCCCTCGTCATGGTGTTTGAATTCCTGCTGATGAAGGTGAGTCTTCTAGGTCTGAGAGGGAGACGGGCTGGCTGCCACCCTTCTATCTCCGGGACAGGACGGGGCAGGGTCCCTTGGGCTGGCCACATGTCCTGCCCTGGACTCTGCTGGCCTGGTGGGGAACAGGGGGTAGCTGGACTCGGGGCCCCACAGCCAGGGTTGGTTTGCTCAGGCAGTGCAGTTGGGACCTGCGCCCTGCACCCCACTGACCACGGTGCCCTCGTGTGCTAGCAGGGTGCCCTGGGAACCAAGACCCACACTCCTCTGCCTGCCAGCTTCGGGCCTCCCCCGGCCTCCCCAAGCCCGGGCTGCTTTCTTGGGAGCCGTCCCCCGTCCTCTGTGTGGGCCTTGGGAGGGAAATGCCGCCTGCGGCTCACGTTTCTTCCTGTGTTCTCATTGCTCTGGTCATGTCTCCATCAAGGTGAAACGAGCTCACGTGTCCCAGCCCTTGTTCCCAGCCGTCTACAAGGAGTTTGAGGAGCTGCACGGGATGGTTGAGGAGATGTGTCGCGATTACCTCAGTAGTTCCGGCCCGTGCCCGCGGGAGGCCCTGGAAATACGCAACAGCAAGGTACAGAGAGCTCTGCTTGGCTGACCTTAGCCCAAGGGACTGTCCCTCTGCCACGGGGAGGGGAGTCTGTCAGCCCAGGGAGGGTGTCCCCCGCCCACGGGAGCCGGGAGGGGTGGTCAGTAGTGACGTCTTTGGAGCCAGCCTCCTTTGGCTAGGACACCCACAGCCCCCTGCTCGCTGGTGGTCCCAGTTCCTGCATTGGTGCCTCACTCACTTCCTGCCATTGATGTTTGAGGTGGTCCCTAGGGACCGTGTGTATGTTTGTATGTGTGTGTGTGGGGGGGGGAGGGTTTAGACATTCTTGGCTCAGTGTCATTGTCCTTGTCACACTGCATATAGGGATACAGGGTCCTTTGCAAACTTGTTGTCAGCACATGTGAGTTGGTCTGCTGTGGGTGGGCACGTCCTATGGCCCCTTGGTTACTTGGGAGCCTCGGCGAAGTGTGGGGGGACGCAGCAGAGACTTGGGCCTCTCTGGACCCTTCCTGGCTCCCGTGCACTGATTACAAACCACGCTCTTGCCATGGCAGACAGGGACACCTGTTGGGAACCCTCAGACAGGCATGCTGCCTCTCTGCTCTCGATGCCCCGCCCTCTCCCAGAAGCAGTGGCACTCGATAGCACGCGCTCTGTGCCCTGGTGGCAGGGGGCTTCTGCCAGGCTGGAGTCCAACGTGCAGCGCCCTGTTTGTTTCTGCCTTTTGTGCTCGTTGCTCGTTTTACAATCCCTAACGAAACTTTATATTTCCATTTCTTAATCTGTGTCATTTATAAGAAACACAAATGGGTTTTGTGTAGTCACCCCAGTGGTCACACTGCTGTGGCCTCTTTGGAGCAGTGACAGGAGCGCACGCTGTAAGGGACCCTCCCAAGGTTGGTCAGCTCTGAACCGCCTGGTGCTGGGCTGTGCTTTACCACACTCTGCCATCCCACCTTCCCCACCCCAACCCCAGCCCAATGCCCTGTGGTGGGCTCTGTCTAACAGTATGGAACCCACGGATTCTTACAGAAACCCCACAGGGCAGCTGTCCTCTCTGTGGACAAGAGAAGGACTGGGGCTGGTTGGTGGCTTCATGGCCAGTGAGCAGAGGTGCTGGGGGCACCCAGCTCTCCCAGGCCCTAAGCCGCGTCCTGGCCCCCTGCCGGCTGGGGAAGAGAGACCAGTGGGGGGCGCAGAGGAGGAGGAAGAAAGGGCAGGAAAGCCATTTTGGCATCAAACTGACATCTTAAGTTTGTGTTAGCACTAGAGAGACCTCTCACAGACCTATCTGTAAACCTTCTGAGTGCCCGCATCCAAACAGAGCTAACACAGAACACCCTGGCTTTGCTCAGGACCCACACGGCCACTGAGCCCGTCTGCCTTCCGTCCTGTGTGCCTTGTGCCCGCTATGTGCGGGGCAGCTCACGTGGACAGAGACCCAGGCCCGCAGCTCCTGGGCTGGCCTGCTGGGGATACCCAGGCGGATGGCGGTACAGCTTCCCTCTCGCTCAGCCTGCAGCCACCGCGGGCTGCTGGAACAGAAATAGCACCTGTGGGGCCTTTCTGGACCAGGAATCTATTTCCTCAGAGCCTGGAGGCCAGAAGTCCAAAGTGCAGGCACTGGCTCCAGGGGAAGTTGGTCTCTGTTCTGGGGAAGGACCTCGTCTCTCACGAGCGTCTAGTCCTGGTTCCTGTGGCTCTCGTCCTGGTTGTCATCATCGTCGTCATCCCGTCCCCCCCACCCCCTCACCCCTCCGGGGCATTGATCCTCCCCGACTGCTTGCTTCTGCACTGAGGTGGCCTCATCAAGAAGCCCTGCCCCCAAATGGGATGACAGCGCAGGGTTCTCTTAATCCCATTTCCCCACAAACTGCTGAAGGCCCCCATTCAGCCCCTCATAGCCCCGTCCCCCCCCAGGTTGCCGAGTCCCTTGGAATCACAGAGGAGATCCTGAGGGAGAGAGCCATCCGGCCAGACATCCTTCCGGGGCAGTGCGCCAGCCTGGAGGCGGAGGCTGGCATCCAGAAGCGGGAAGGCGAGGTGGGCCTGGACTGAGAGGACGCCCAGCTGGTCCTTGCTCCCTGTGGGTGGGGTGGGCTGGCGTCCAAGCACCCAACGTGCTCTCTGGGGAGGAGGGGGAGGCCTGTGGGTTGGCTGCCGGGGCTAGCACTCGGCTCTTCTCTGCACAGCCTGTGGAGGGGGCGCTAGCTTCAGTGAAGAGGGCCAGAGGAGAGACCACGCCCAAGGACACCGCCGGGCCTCCGGCTGTCCGCATAGGAGACATGGAGAGACTCCGGAGCCAGTGTGCCCCAGCCGCCAGGGAGGGTAAGATGCCCGTGTAGGGTGTGCCCCCAGGGCGCCATTTCAGGTAATCCTGGTTTCGGGTCATCTCCACGATGTGCCCCAGCTTCCCGGTGTTCTGTTGTTCAGTAAGCATTCCCCGAGGCTGGGGTCTCTGAGGTTCTCCTGATGTGAGCTGCCTTCGAGCCGGCTCCACCCCATGACGCCTGATGTCCACCAGAAGGAGCGCTGCCCAGCCTGCCGCAGCCGCACAGTGGTTAGGGCTGGGCCCATGGCTGCGGTGCCATCTCCTGGGTGAGCATCTGAATGCAGACGGGGCCAGAGTGGGGGGAGAGAGAGAGAGAGGTGGGGTGGGTGGGGATTGGTTCTGAACGCCAGCTTGTCATCTGACACTGGGCAGGACTCGTGCTTGCTGTCAGTCTTGCTGTAGCCGGAGCCTGTTGGCTGGGCCCACTGAGCAGCCTGACCCCAGAGCATCACTTGCTGCTTCCCAACTTGTGACCTCATTCCACCTCGTGGGAGGCTGAGAGCCCCAGAAGAAGAGCGTGATGCTGCCCCACCCCCTCCCCGGCAGCCGGGTTCTCTGTACACCCGCTCACCCCGTAGTGCCGGTGGCACAGTGTCACAAGCACTCTCGCGGGGGCGCCTGTGTCCAGTTAGCCTTCTGGCCATGCTGCTTCAGGGGCAGCCAGAGGCCCGAGTCTCCCGTCGGGGTGGGGGTGGGGCAGGGACAAAATGCAGAGACAAAATGACTGTGCAGATTGTTCTGGGAACGCTCCGGAAATGCGGCATCTGTCTTTCTGAGTCAGCGATGAGAAGTACTAGTTTGCCACCCGTCCACAGAGCAAGGAGAGCTTCCATGTTGGCAAGAGAGTGGACGTGGACGTGGGTTTGGGAGAGTGACGGTCACAAGGCTGTCACGCAATCTACAGGTGCTTCACCCTGCTCTTCTGAACCTCCAGGTTGTGGCCAAGTCAACAGGCACTTGTCCCATCCAGCGGTGGGTGCTGTCAGCGGTGGCGGCGAGCTCCCTGAGGGCCGGCAGCTGAGAGCCGCTGTGGACTTCGGCGCCCAGAGCGGGCCTGTGGGCTGGGCTCCACTGCCCCAGGGTGCCATGGGGCCGGTTCTCCACGCTCAGTTGGCCCAGGATGCTGGGGGCAGCCCACCAGGCTTAGCTCCCTGTAGCACCCTGGTGGCAGGTGGTGTGGTCAGGAGCTGTGGCAATGTGGGCACTGTTACCCTCACGGATGTCACAGCTCTGTTCCCGGAGGCCATGCTGGTAGACCAGGCCTGCAGGACTGCGTCAGAGCCTCCGCCCGGCCTGGACAGGCCACCGCCGGCCACCAGGAGCCTTGGGAGCCACGTGGAGGCCATCAGCCAGTGCCATGGCCCCAGGGAGCCTGCTGGACCTGCAGAACTGGAGAGCGTTGCTGCTGGCGGGGAAGCTGGAGCCCTGGAGCTCCCCCCTGGGTGCCAGGAACTGTTCTACCCGGGGCCGGAGCAGATCCTCATTCAGACTTCAGATGGGCGCCTCCTGTCCCACCCCGGTTCACTTGTGCCTCGGGAGGAGGACATTGTCCTAGTGGCCGAGGGAACGGGCGTGCCGCCGGCTGGCCTTCCCTTAGAGGCGGTGGAGGCCCTTCTCGGAGGGCAGTCCGGGCCCTCCTCGTGAGGCCCAGTCAGCCCACACCCTGTGCTGTCTGCATTTTCTCCAAGGGCGACTTTGGACTGTGTAATTTTGTAATGTGAACACTGATACGCCTTTTATTTATAAAGCCTGCCTGCCTGCCCACCGTGCCGCCGGCCTCTGCCCGTGCCTTGCTTGCCATCGCCCTGTTGGCTGGTACGGAGTCTCCACACAGCCCACTCTGCGGCACTGTGTCAGGGCAGCATTTCATGTTACTCCCTGGACAGCGCGCGACGCCCACCTGCTCCCATGACTCCAGAAGCTGCCTCAGGAGCCTGGAAAGTCGTAAGCCATTTCCGGTAGCCCCTCGTCTGCACGTGGGAAAGGCCTTTGTGCTGCTGCCGGAGGAGGGGAGGCCTGCATGAGGACGATTCCCCAGGCTCCTGGGGGACCTGGCCGAGCCCGAGCCCGAGCCCCAGGCCTTGGTGGCTGCCTGCTGCCCCTCCTCAAGGTCTCTCTCTGTGAGGGGACAGCAGGGTGGGGCCATTTGTCTCTACTCGGACAAGGTCATCCTGAGAGCACCCAGGCAGGCACCCTATGGAGGGTGTACCTCAGGGCGGCTTGGGGTGCCAGCTTTATCCCATGGTACCAGCACTCCCTCAGCCCTTCCCAGGACTGGGAGGTATGTCCCCACCCTCTCACTTGCTACCCGGTGGGTTTCACAGAAACAAGGGAGAGCGTGGTAGCAGAACAGAGCTGGCCTGCAGACAGCAAGCCATGGTCACTTAGCTGGGCTGAACCAACATCAGGACTCACTCTTTGTCAGGCAAGGGAGCCCCCACCCACGAGCACCTGATCTTTCCCTTTGAGGCTCTCCTTTAAGTCACAGGTTCCCAAACTTACTTGGCCTACGCCCCCCTTTCAGAGAAAATTACTCACCACCCCCCGTCCAGCCATTAACAACTTGTACTATACAGCCTTCAACCCAGGGTAAGGGTAGGTACTGCTTTTACCGTCCCCCTGGATTGGTCAGTGCCCCCAGGGGTGGTTCCGCCTGCTTTGGGAGACACTAAGTTGGGTTTCCTGCAGCTTGTTTTAAGTGCTTTTATCAAGAATTCACCCCTGAGCCCCTCCCCATTCCCGTCTTGGTGTGTGAGGAGCTTCATTTCCCTCCACTGTCCGTCTGGCAGGCTTCTGGAGGAGGAGAGGGCGGGTGCAGTCTTGGCTCAGTGTGACTGTGTCCGTGGGGACCCCAATTCAGGCAAGCAACGGCACACTGCTGGCTCAGAGTTTAAAGCCAGTATTTCTCGCTGCAGGCCTTCCCCCCAATGCAAATCTCCTGTCCTCAGAGCAGTTCTGGTGGGATTCAGGCTTTCTCTCTTAGCTTACTCTACCGAGACTTCAAACAAAACGCCATTTCTTCCAGGCAATCCCTCGTTTCCTTCTGGCACATCCAATCAATTATAGTCTGAAGCAGGTATTTTAAAATAAGTCTTATAAGCTCTTCTTAATCATAATTGACTTCCTATTTTACAATACCTGGAAGTATCAATAATGCCACCAAATAACATAACCCTTAACCTTTCTAATGATAGCCAAATTTAATAGTCTCTTCTCCATCCCTGGACTGTCTACTGATGCACATGTGGTCTGGGGCCTCTGGCAGGGTGGATCCAGTAGACACTGGCCTCCTATTTGAATTATGCATCAACCAGCCAAGCTTTCCCCCAGGCCACCCCAGAAGCAGCCTTCCCTCAGCTGCGGGTGTCATTCCTTACATCCCTCCCAAGTGACCCCAACCAAAATAACCATCCTAGCAACCAATGTTTCACTTCCCACGCCTTTTGGGGCTCTTTGCCTTACAACCCCCCACGCTTTTGGGAGTCTGAGCTGTTGTGATGCAGCCCTCTCTCCTGCCACTAGATGTGTCCAACTTAACACTCCTGCTTTTCCGTCTAGATTCTGCAATCCATCGCAGTGGCCACGCAGAACTCACACTATTCATGATGATAGTTTATTAAGGAGGTTAACACCTTGCAATGCGGGCAAGAAATGCTTAGGATACGACTGTTCAGTCAGGACACGTGACAAAGTTCTTTCAGGCTTCCAGGAAATACCGGAGGATATGTTGTCACTCCAGTCTAAGCCTCAACCCAAAGGCATTCAGCCCAGCTCCATGGGTCAGTGAACCCATCTCCCCCCCTTACGTGCCCAGAGGCACCCCACTCCAGAACGGCTCCACCTCTGCGAGTCAGCAAACTCAACTCCCCCAAGTTAGTGCCCAGAGGCACCCTACTCAAAGCATTGGGTTTTCCTTGCTCTGTGGGCTGGGAGTCCACCCTCTCTGCCTGATGCTGACTCCTGGCTCTGATGCTGCCTTGATGACACTGTGCAGGGGTCCGGGGCCCAGAAGACATGTCCTTCCCAGGTTCTAGGTAATGCAGTCCCCTCCTTCTCAGAGGCTCATTTCATACCCAGCAGGATGGAGATTGAGTGGATCCTGTGCACAGCACACCAGGAAAAGGTCCCTGGGTGGGAGTTAAGAGAGACTGCCTAGGAGAGCCACGCTGAGTAACTCGTCGCTGCAAACGGGTGAAGAAGCCGTGCAGCACGCAATGCCCTGGAAAGGACCGGCATGTAAAGGAGACTGGAGAAACGATTTCACTTCATACCCGCGTCTTCGGCTGTGCCTCTTCAGTCTCTCAAAACGGTGACCTTTCCCCTCGCTTCTCACAAAGCACACTAGCTGTGCGTGGCAACGGTTGCAAGATGTGCCGGACTACCAACTTTGCCAGAGTACCACCATGGAGATTCCTGGCTCGGCCTGGCCTGAGTACACAAGCAGGAGCGATCTCTGGTAGGCATTCCCATTTCTCTGACGATGCTGGTGCTCCTCTCCACACAAAATAGCCCAAATCAACTGCCTGAGTCAGGGCAGAAGAGCTCCAGTGGGCTTCCACGACATAACTCTTCATGGGAGTAAGCTCAGTCTTTCACCCATGGAGCAGCTGGTGGTTTTGAACTTCTGACCTTGCAGTTAGCAGCTAACATGTAACCACGATGCAACAGCATTTTACAAACTAACCATGACTACTAAACTCCCACCAGGAGAAGCTGAGTAACACAGACACGCCTGGGTGGAGCCGAGAAACCAGGGGTATGCTAGCAAACCTACGCAGTGGCATGCATCCAGCTGACAAAACCAAGCTCATTTGCTCACTGCTCAGGAGCCCTCTGGGGACAGATCAGAAGAGGTGCTGCAGGGGCTGGCAGGCAGCAAGGGGCAGAGTCCACAGGAGCTGAGGGTGGGCTGGCCAGAAGACCCCGTGTCCCGGGCACCGGCATCCTAGGCCTGCACAGGAGGCCTGTCTGCTATAGGAGATGAGGCGCCCTCCAGAGCGAGGCTGCTCGGGTCAGAGCGGCCGGTGCCCCGTCTCAAGCAGCATGCCTTCCAGAAGCAGCTGGCTGGCGCGTTCCACATACGGCTCGTGCAGCCACATGGACAAGTAGGTCAGGGCGAGGTTGCGGTCCGCCGAGTGTGCGAGCTCCTCGGTGACAGTGCGCTTCAGCAGCAGCTCCTTCCCGTACATGTTGCACAGCCGGCGGGACACCGTGTCTGGGACAAACGTGGGGTGGGGTTAGCCACTGTGGAGTCGCCTCCCGAGGCCTGATAACCTCGGGCCATGGTGCTCCTAGGGTTTTCACTGGCTGATACTCAGAACCAGGCCCACCGGGCCTTTCTTCCTAGTCTGTCTGAGTCTGGAAGCTGCCAACAGCAGAGCACCTCTCCCGCCTCTACTGACAGACCTGTGTCGGCCACACTGAGGTGCACTGGCCAGGAATTGTACCTGGGTCTCCTGCCCGGAAGGTGACAATGCTACCACTGTACCACCTCCGCTCCAGATGGAGCACGAAGACTGCTGCAACGTAGGAGTCAAGGAAGAGCCCTCAACTCGGGCAAGCCCCACCAGTGGTCTAGGAGCACCTGGTTAGAAACCAGGATCTCCAACAGACCAAGGCAGAGCGAACGAGGGGCCTTCACCCCTCCAGCTGGTGCAGTCGAGAATTAGATGGCAGGGATGCCTCTTGTAATGAAAAGTGACACACCGACCTTTCCCACTTCCCTTGTAGGTGAGCTGCATGGTAAACTGACGGTACTGCAGTAAACACACTACATTCGGGATCTGACCCCTTTCTCCATCAAATCCATATCAGGTAGTGCAGTCCTTCTACACTAATGTGGAACCATGGCCACCAAGTCAAGTTCAACTGACACTGACCCCATACATGGCTTCTGAGGTTGTAACTATTTATGGGACCAGACAGCCTCATTGCTCTCTCATGGAGTGGCTGGTGGGTTTGAACCGTCAATGTTATGGCTGACAGTCCACTACTTATCTCACAGGTCACCGAGGCTCTGTGATCAGCTGACAAGAGCTCTTCAAGGAGGTTTTTGGCTTATTTGACTTGTGAGTTATCTCTCCCAACAGTCTTCTTGCAGGGGGCTGGTTGAAGTGGCCCTGACTTAATGAAACAGAAGGCTTTCCTGCTCCTGAGGAAATGACAGATTTCTGCCTGGAGGGGCAGTGGAGTTCATTTCACTCATTGCCTGTAAGGGGTTAATAATGGCAAGTCTTTTAATGGCTCTCTAATTACACTTTAAAAGAGTCCAGGTAGTAGTGGGTTACTGACCTGCTAACTGCAAGGTCAGCGGTTCCAACCCACCAGCCACACCGTGGGAGAAAGATGAGGCAGTCTGACTGCTCCTATACAAATGCAATGTCTTGGAAGCTTCCAGAAGCAGTTCTACTTTATCCTTCAGTGTCTTTATGAGTCTGAACCAACCCAATGGCAGTGGTCTGGCGACTTAATGGAAAACTGGCTTCAGTTAATAACCAGGCACTGTTGACTTGGCTCTGACTCCCAGTGACCCTGTGTGTCGGAGTGGAAACAGCTACGGGGTTCTTAGTGGCTGGTTTTCTGGCAGCGGATCACAAGGCCTTTCTTCTGCAGTACCTGAGTAGGGTCAAACCCCCGACCTGTTTTGGTTCTCAGCCCTGCTGGTGTTCATCATTGGCACTACCCAGACATCTTTTAAGAGAGGCTCTTTTAAGGTGCCCTGGTCTCTTTCCTTCCCAGTGGACCCTTTCAAGTTGAACTTCAAAGTCCTGTCAGCTTCTGAAGGCACCAGATCTAACTGGTAGCAAACGTTCTCCAGATCTCTGCCCCCCTGAAAACCGGCACAGAGAGAACTACTCACAAAAGTGGGCGGTGGGCCACGTGTGGAACAGGGGTGGCGGCTGGCCCTCTTCCCCATGATGGTAATTTTCCAGGTCACAAATGCCTTTGGTGGTGGAAGCCAGCTTTTCCATTTTCACCTGTACTTTAGTCTGAGAGATGAGAATGTTAACATTTACTCCAACTGAATAGCTCTAGGATTTCAGAGCTAAGAAGCAGAAGTCTGTTGGGATCATCACTAAGGTCACCATCAAGTCCACCCAGGGTACATGCCAAAGGGGCGGGACACTGAGTCTCTTAAGCCCAGGAAGGAAAGCTTGCTGAGTCCCACAGACGGGTTTCTGAGCAGCACCGATCAACTTGCCCCCAAGATGGGGCAGGATCCTGTCTCTGTGGAGTGAAAGAGGTGACGAGGCATTAAATAAGGATGGCCTTGTGAATAGCCTGAGTTTCTAAACCACTCTCCAACCTTGGTTTCCTTAGTTGTAAAAGGGCCAAGCAGTAAGGCTCCACAGAGGCAGGAAATCCTGCAGCATCTGCACCGCCACACAGGGTAGACAGCATATCTCCTCCATGCATGCGAGCAACGGCTGCATGCTTCTAGCCTTGCTTCCACAGGGTGAGATTATATGACCCCATCTCATTGAAAATAAGAAATCAACATATAGAAAATGATTAAATGAGTTAACATCTGTGAAACAGCTAGTTGGCACTGTGTCATGGATCAAGAGGCAGATGTGTGAGCAGAACAAGGGAATCCTGCACAGTATGCGATCAATGAAGGTGTGCGTGCGTCAGGGCTGTAGCCTCTCGCCATACTTAATCAATCTGTATGCTGAACAAATCACCAGAGAAGCTGGATTCTGTGAAGAAGAGTGTGGCATCAGGATGGAGGAAGGCTTATTAACATCCTGCGATGTGCAGACAACACAACCTGGCGTGCTGAAAAGTGAGGCGGACTTGGAGCCCTTGCTGATGAAAATCAAGGATTGCACCTTCAGGATGGATTACAAAACCCAGACCCTCCAAACTGGACCAGTAGGTAACATCAGGAAAGAGAAGAGACTGAAGTGGCCAGGGGTGTCATCTTGCTTCAGTCTGCCGCCCGTGCTCAGAAGCAGCAGCAGCAGATCAGGTGGTGCGCTGCTCTGAGTCAGTCTGCCGCCCAAGGGCTCTTTCAAGGGCCGAAAAGCAAGGGTGTTGCTTTAAGGACTAGGGTGTGCCTGACCTAAGCCATGGTGTTTTCAATGACCTCAAACGCGTGTGAAAGCTGGATACCAAATCGGGAAGATAGCTACATCGGAACTATGGTGCTGGCGAAGAATATTGAAAGTACCATAGACTGCAGAAGGAACAAAGAAATCTGTCTTGGCAGAAGGACAACCAGAATGCTCCTTGGACATAAGAACTGTGAGATGAAGAGGGGCAGCAGCAAAGAGGAAGGCCTTCCACAGACAGAGGGACACAGCGGCTGCAACAGTGGGCTCGAACGTAAGAACAATTGTGGGGCTGGTGCAGGACCGGGTTTGTGCACTGGGTTGCGTAGAGTCGGAACCACTCAGTGGCACCTAACAATAATCTGGGGGGTGGGTGCGAAGGGGGGGCACAGAGGAGGGGTAGAAGATGATTTTTGGCACCTGAAAATGATATGAAATTCACATTTCAGTATCCGTCCAGCCTCTTCCTGGAACACTGGGAAGTGCCTTTGCTTGTGGGCTGCCTGGACTGTTTGGGGCAGCTGCCCGGCCTGCAGAGCTCACACGGTTTACTCCTGGCTCTCTACTGGGAAGGCTGCTGGCCCCCCATTGGCTGAGAGGGAAGATGCAGCAGGAAACAAGTCACTGCACAGAAATGGGGCGGGCACACCACGAGCGGCAGCATAGAGGGCTTCGAGGACAGAGCAGCCTACCGGGAAGAGTGGCTTCCCTCTGTCAGGGCTGCCTCAGCTAGGCCTGAAGGAGCAAGGGGTCAGGGCAAAGTGGAGAGGGCCCTCACAGAAGGCACAGGCATGGAAGGAATAAGCAGGGGCCGTGTGAAGCCTTCAATGGGTGCCCCAAAGGGTGCTAACTTCCAGTCCCTGTGGCGGTGGCCTTGTTTAGAAACAAGAGTCTCTGAAGATGGAGTAAGAAGGGTTTTGATCCCAGAGTAAACCGGGCAGAGAGCAGACTGGGCACTATGTACCCACCACAGCAGACATGGCCCAGGGAAGGAAGGGCCCACCTGCAGGGTCAGGGCTGCTGAGGCGTCAGTTGAGCCCTAATATGCCCTCTAGACAAGGCGACAGGACCTAGACTCTTACCAACCCATCCAAGGTGGCCTGCAGCTGCTCACACAGCGTCTCCAGCTCCTGGTTATAATCTGGATCCGTCTGTCCGTTCGTATCAGAGGGCAGGCTATTGCTCTCTAATTCTATCTTGTCTTTGCTCCTGGACAAGACAGAAACGAGCAGGGATGACATATATGTAAGCTCACCGACCTCTGTGGGATGATAAATCCTAAAAACCTTAACATCCTCATCTTTATTTCAGATGCTCTGTATTAGACCTAAGAGCACAGTGGTTAATACTAGACTGCAAGGCTACCAGGTGTTCCTTGGGAGAAGGACAGTTTTCTACTTCTGTAGAGCGTTAGTCTCAGAAACTCCCAGGGGCAGTTCTAATCTGCCCTATAGGGTCTCTAAGAGACAGCATTGACTTGATGGCAGCATTCTGGTTTGTTTTCAGTGGGTTGTGCACTGAACTGCTGCTAACGGCAAGGTTAGTGGTTCAAAGCCACCAGTTGCTCTGGGGGAGAAACAGGAGGCTGTTTGGCCCCATTCACATTTATGGCCTCGGAAACCCACAGGGGCAGTTCTACTCTGCCCTCTGGGGTTGCTATGAGTCAGAATCTATTTGATGGCAGTGGGCTTGGGACATATGGAAATTAAAGAGTTGTGTTGACCCCATGTGCTACAGAGTCAACTTGTGCTCCATGAACTTGTCCCGGCGGGGCCTTTGTTAGTATGTTGGTCCAGGCTTTCCTTCTGGTTCAGGCACCCCAGCCCTGTCGTTAGAGCTGAGCATTGACTCGTCTGCACCTGGGGTACCTGCTTATCTCCCTAGGGACCTGATGTGCTTTACGTATATGTTACTCTGCGAGGAGCCTTGGTGGCACAGTGGTTCTGCATTGGGCTGTGAACTCCAGGGTCACCAGTTTGAAACCACCAGCTACTCCTTGGGAGGAAGGCAGGGAGGGCTTTCTATTCCTGTAAAGCAGTGGTTCTCAACCTCCCTAATGCCGTGACCCTTTCATACAGTTCCTCATGTGGTGGTGACCCCAACCATCAAATTATTTTCATTGCTACTTCATAACTGTCATTTTGCTACTGTTAGGAATTGGGAGACCCCCTTTGGGGGTCAAACGACCCACAGGTTGAGAACAGCTGCTGTGAAGAGTTACAGTCTTGGCAACCCACGGTTCTGTACGATGAGGTTGCTATGAGTCGGCATCACCTCGTCCATGGCAGGGAGTTTGGTTTTGGTTTGGTTTTTCTTTGTAGACTTTTCTAGATTCGGGTGAAGAACGAGAAAGCGAATCCTCTCCTTAAGAGCCGGCATTCCTTTGTGCACTTTTGAGAACTAAATTTGCATGGCAGATAAGGACAAAATCCCTTTCCCGGTCACTCAACGCCCACGCTTCCCAGAAGCTACCATTCTCAGGAACGGGGCCTGCGTTCTTCTGTCCCGATCTCCGTGCCTACCTAGAGACATCCATGACAACCCGCAGCTTTCCATACCGCCCAAACAGCGGTTCTTACTGCACCATGTCCTCCCGGCTCCCTGTCTTATGTCGTACCGTATCCTCGCTGGTAAGTGCAGACCACCCTTCCCACACTGAAAGGCTCACAGGCAAAGTCTGCCCCACCTTCGAGGGTGAGACTCTGCCCAGACTCACAAAGAACTCATCCTCAGGTTGGCGATGCTGCTGGCAGTGGAAAACCCTGCACCCGAGAGGGACTCCCACTTGAGGATTAAGTTGTGCCAGTCGGCTGCGTTGTCCTTGAGTTTTCTGGCACTGACGGACAAGACGGGCTTCCTGGGAGTTACAGCTCCAAGGTTCTTTGCTGATAATGAGAGAAAGAAACAGAAGTGTGATGAAATGCCAGGTGGTGGGTGGAGGCTTGTCTCCAGCATTAAGCTCTTTTAAGACCTGTGTGTGATCAAATTGACCACAGCCACTCCAATGACTGGGCAGGAAGGACCCTTAAGGGGCAGTGAGTTTAGGTGCACAGGGGAAAGACAACTCAGAAAAGGAGGTGAGAATGGCTCCCCAACTCAAAGACTGTCACCAGCTTCAAGGAATTGGTGAATGTCTTGACAAAATAGTACGTGAGGTGTGTATAGTCTCAACAACTAGGTATATAAATATATATATGGCATCCTTATACACACATATACATACACACATACATATACACCCTACGCAGGAGCCCTGGTGGCATAGTGATTATGTGTTGGGCTGCTAACTGCAAGTCACTAGTTCAAAACCACCAGCTGCCTCAAGGGAGAAGATTTCTACTTCTGTCAAGAGTTACAGTCCCAGACAACCATAGAGGCAGTTCTACCCTGTTATAAAGGGCTGTTATGAGTTAGCATTGACCCAATGGCAGTGAGGCTTTTTGACACACATGTACATATAAAAGCTCATAGTTGGAGGCCAAATGTCTTTATAGCTTCCAATAGTACAATTATCTGATGGGGAGGTAATTTGGGAAGAGACAGCGAGAATGATGATACAAGAAGAATGTAACCATCGTCACTAAATTGTATCTGGAGACGTTGTTGAGTGTGTGTGTCTGTAGTTCCACACACACTTTTTGTCAGAAACAACAAGAAAACTCTGCCATTGAGTTGATTCTGACTCATAGCGACACTAGAGAGCAGAGGAGAACCGCCCCTGTAGGTTTCCAAGGCTGTCAATCATTTTGAGAGTAGAAAAGTCTCATCTTGTGGAGCAGCTGGTGGGTTTGAGCTGCTGACCTTGTGGTTAGCAGCCAAACGGGTAACACCCACTCCACCACCAGGGCTCCATCAGATCGACTGAAAAACAAACCAACCAACCCCAAGCCACACACCCACCTGAAATACTGCATCAACTAGACCAGCGGTTCTGAACCTTTGGGTCGCGACCCCTTTGGGGGTTGAATGACCCTTTCACAGGGGTCGCCCAATTCATAACAGTAGCAAAATTACAGTTATGAAGTAGCAATGAAAATAATTTTATGGTTGGGGGTCTCACCACAACATGAGGAATGGTATTAAAGGGTCGCGGCATTAGGAAGGTTGAGAAGCACTGAACTAGACAAATGAGCCCGGTGGAAAAGGGAAGCAGGCTGGATGTGAAAGTGTGTTTCCTGAAAGAAGCCAAAGCAGACCCTTGTTGACACGTAAGACCTGCTGGGGTGGACACAGATTGAGCCGGAAGCACGTTCACTATTTGCCAAGGCCAGAAAGGTGAAGATGAAGGTGTGACATTCCCTGGCTGCCATTATCTCCGGCTGCGTGAAGCCCCTTTAGGATTCTTAGTGGGGTTCTACTCACTGGGCCCAAGCACTTGGACACCTACCACTCGGTCAGAGCTTTGTGGCTCACGAGGGTACACCATTCCTACACGGACAGGTGCATCCCAGAAGCAGAGACCCTCTCCAGCCACCACTGTCCTGCTTAGAAGGAGCAAGATGAAGTCCAAGCTCAAGACCAGGCCACCTTCTTGCCTGGCACTTGCCTCAATCGCCAGCTCAAAGGAGCTCCAGGCAGCTTGAGAGAAGCTAAGAAGCAGCTTTGTAAGGCAGTTTTCTCCGGAAAGTGCTTCCCTTCGTCTGGCCAACGCTGCTCAGCCCCTGAGATGTCCCCAGGTCCTGCCCCTCTCCTTTCCCCCTAAACCCCCCCCCTCCCCACAAAGGCTGCTCATCAACCACAGGATAAAGCCTGACTTCCCTAAGAAGCTGTCAAGGAATCTGGGACAAAGCACACCTGGATGGTAGGGTCTCGACTCCAAAGACCACACTACCTGGGTTCTGCAAATGTTAGCTCTGTGATCCTGGATAAGTTAGCTTCTTGGAGCCCCATTTTCTCATCTTTAAAATGGGGATGAAAATAACTATTCTGTAGGGGTGTTGTAAGGATTTGAGAAGATACTTAGAACTCAGAGAGGTGGGAGCACCCAATCCCTCAACCAGTATTACAAGGACTTCTGTTCCTTGAGCTCTGCCTGTCACTGCGCTAGCTCCATCCCCCCCTCCCCTCTACTGGTTGCTATGCTGCAGCTCTGGCTCTGACCAGCATTCTCCCCACCCACTCACCCAACTCCCAGAGTCCTTTATGGCTCAGCTGTCAGATAGCTTATTGGTCCTACTCTCCCTCATGTGGCACTGCTGTATGCATGACTTCATTCACAGTGCTATTAAGGAGCTCTGGTAACACAACAGTTAAACACTTGGGTGCTAACCAAAAGGTTGGTGGTTCAAACCCACCTCACGGCTTAGTAGGAGGCTGTGCTGGCAATCTGATAACAACCTAGTAAGCCAATGGAACAGCACTACTATGTCACAAGGGGCTTGCTACGCATCAAAATGGACTCAGCAGCACCTAGCAACAATAATAACATCTGATTCATATTTTAATCATGCTAATTGAAACCCCCTATGTATCAGGGTGGAACACTGCTCCATAGGATTTTTGTTGTTGTAAATAACAATTTATATATAAATATATATACTCACGTGTGTATATAGTTTTACAACTATATATACACACGTGTACACACACACAGGAGACCTGGTGGCTGGAGGGTTGTGTATTGGGCTACTAACCACTACTAACCAGGTCTGTAGTTTGAAACTACCAACTGTTCTGTGGGAGACAGATGAGGCTTTCTAGTCCCATAAACATTTACTCTAGAAAACCCCAGGGGCAGTTCTACCCCGTGCTGTCTGGTAGCTATGAGATGGAATTCACTCAATAGCAGTGAGTTCCATTTGGGGGGGATTTTGGTTTTGTTCTTGTTATAACACAACATCTGCCAATTCAGCATTTTCTAAGTGCATAGTTCAGTGATATTGCTTGTTTAATGTCTTTATCTCCTGTTTGACTGCAAGGCTCTTCAGGGCAGGGACTGTCTGGTGTGTAACCCCCTTAAGTCCCAGCACCCAGAAGACTGGAAGAAATAGGTTACAAGGAAAAACCACTTCTCCCACCTGTACTGCAACTCCTTAAGGCAGCGGTTCTCAACCTGTGGATCTTGAGCCCTTTGGGTAGCAAAATTAGTTATGAAGTAGCAACGAAAATAATTTTGTGGTTTGGGGCCACCACAACATGAGGAACTGTATTAAAGGGTTGCAGCATTAAGAAGGTTGAGAACCACTGCCCTAAGTGTTTCTCTCACTCTCCAGGACTCCTTGAGGGCAAGGGTCACCTCTGATCCTTCCTCTTTCTGCCCCACGTGATCCACATATTTAGGAACTGAAAATTGGGCATGGTTTTAGATTCCAAGAAACTCACAGGCTAGTAGGGCAAAAGACGCGCCATAAGGATCACAACACAGGCCAAGTTACTTAACCCTTGTGAGCCCCCATCTGTAAAAGAGGGATGACAAGAGAAACGATGGGGTTTGTACGAAGCACAAATGAACCGATGCATACAAGGTACTCATCACACTACTAGGCACAGGACGAGCACTCGCGGGATGACAGCTCTGTTACAAGCAAAAGGCTCTAGGTATCTGTGACTGAAAGCTCAAAGGATTTTCTGACTCCCAACGCGCCCCGCTAATGCTAATTAATTTATAAGACCAAGAGCTACAAAGTGAGCCTTTGCATGCATCATCTCATTGCGCTGTCACTTTACATGCTAAAAAACAAGGAGCATGCGCATGGGCCCCTCTGCAGAGCTCCCAGGCCCAGCGCCAGTCCGAGGCCCGGGCCGTCACAGGAGCAGCCGCCCCAGCCCAGCCAACTAACCCACTTCTCACGCACCTTCCATGCCGCCGGCGGATAGCTCGGGAAGGAGACGGGAGGCCCCGCCCACAGCCGGAAGCAGATAGCATCACTTCCGCCGCGCCGGCCGCCAGTTGTGTCTCTGCCTCTCTAGCCCGGCGCAGAGCCGGTTGCTGCTCGGCGGTGCCAGCTCGTTGCCAGGGAACCGGCTCCCGGCAGCCCCCGCGGCCCCGAGTCCGTCCCCGCCTCCTCAAGCCGGGCTGGGCCGCCGACTGTGGAGGGGCCGCTGGGAGGTGAGTCCGCGACGCTGGGGGCAGGCAGCCAGCGCGCCCCCGGCCCCGCGCCCCTCCTCGACCACCCCGCGCTGCGGGCGACCCCGGCCACCTTTTCCTCGTCCAGCCCCTGAGGGTCTCCGCCACCCCTGCGCCCGTTTCCCGGCTCCGCCGACTCCCTTCTTCAGGGTACCAGATGCGATTACGCTTGCAAGCGCCCGATTCGGAGCCGGCGGTCCCCGCCTGCCTGGGTGCCCCCAACTCCATCCTCGGGCCCGCCCCGGCCGGGTCTGGCCGCCCGGCTCCCGCCACCGTGGTCCTTTGATGGACGTTGCCCCTGCACCCGGGTTCCCAGCCCCCAGGCCCTACATCTGCCCACCAGCGCCTGCCAGCGGGCTTTGGCACCTTCCTTCTAAGCCCTTAAGTACTTGTCAAATGGAGAAGCACTCCTTCTGGGCCTGCATTTCTGTCACTGAGCTGCAGTTTCCTCCTGTCCTCCGCTGGCCTGGAGGGAGGATTGAATCAGATGGGTAGGGTGCGCAGCCAGCGTGCTTTTGTTGTTGGGTGGCCCCTGTCCGGTCTTTTCCCACTCTGGGACCCCATGCACAGCAGAACGTAACACTGCTTGGTCCTTAGCCTTGCCGTGCATGAACTCATTGTCAGTTCTTGTCAGCCGCTGTGGTCAGTCTGTCTCCCTAAGGCGTTTCTGTCTCCTTAAGGTCGACCTCCTCTCCTAAGGGGGCTTAGGTGCTGTTGATCCACATCACTGAGACTACAAACACGTGTGCGGTCCTTCCTGACCACTCCGAGCCTCTTTCCTCCAGCCCCTCCATCCCTCTCTTGTCTTCTTAGAACTTCAGTTTTGCCTTATTCCCATTTCTCCTCCCTGCGTGTTTTGAACTGAGCCGCAGGAGTTGGATGCTGCTTGGTTGAGTCTGGTCCACTTGTTGGCAGAAAGTGGGATTGAACATTCTGTGGCAGAACCGCGGGGTTGCCCTTTGCAGCCCAGGCCTTGGTTTCAGACATTAAGGAAAGAAGCGCTAGGAAAACCCCAAACCTCTATCTCAGGCACTGCCTTGCTCCCATTCCAGCTGGCTCGCCACTGCCCAGAGGCTAACTAGCGCCTGAACTTGCTGACAGCTGCTTTCGACCTGGGGCCCCTCCTCCAGCCACACATTTCTAGTGGCCACCAGTGACTTTCTCCCGGCCTCTAGGACGCCCTCTCACGAGCAACCACCATACCCTTTGACACACCTCTCTCCGCGTATAACCCAACATGTACCACATTTGGGGTCTGTTGTGTGCTGTGCTCTACAGATACTCAGATGCACCAGGTGAGACTCAGCCCCTGCCCCCAGGGAGCTTATAGTGTGGCCTTTGGCCTTTCAAGGCAGGGAAGAAGGCCTGTATTGGCTTGGAAACCACTGGTTGGGAAGATGGGACAAAGCGTCGCCCTCTACTGAAGGGGAATGGCTTGTTCCTTGCCATCTAGTTGGTTCTGACTCAGGGCGGCCCGTGTCTGGAAAGTAGAATGGCTGTGGTGGGTTTCAAGACTATGCCCTATTAGAAACACCACCAGGTCTGTATCTAAGGCGCCTCATGGTGGGTTTGAACCACTCACCTTTTGGTCAGTAGTGGAACACTTAATCGCCGGCACTGCTTAGGAAAGAGCTTCTGTGAGGTGGAAGTTGTCAGGTAGCCCCACAGCCTTTGCTGTCAGTTTCTCCCTCAGAGGAGTTACACTTCAGGGTGAGGAGCATATCCGTGGACATTGCCCTCTGCCGTGAAAGTGAGTTTGGATAGATTGTGTTCTGCAAGAGAGGAAAGGATCAGGCGGAGCCACTGATTGCTCTTAGAACAGGAAGGAATGGCAGGAACCAGATGCCACATCATGACAACAAGCTTTGCCGCTGGGTGGGAGTGCTTTCTTGATCCCGCGGCACACGGTGGAGCCTGGGAGACTCAGGAGGAAGTGCTTGGCGGGCTCTGAACTGAGGTCTCAGTGTGTGTCCCATTTAAAATGAGTGGGTTCTTTGGACCTGGGTGTAAGAGACCAGTGGGGTTGTTTGTGCGCAGGATGAATGTGGCTAAGGAAGAGGGTGACCTTATATTTCAGGTTACCCTACTTGGGCCTGTCTGACAGTGTTTTGAGAGCAAGAGACGAAAGCAAACAAATCCATGTTGGGCGCTGCTTGTACCACTCTCCGGGCTGGTCTTCCCAAGGACCACAAAGGGTCCATTCGCAGGCCAAGACAACAAAGACCCCCTTGTGAGAGAGTAAGAACAGAAGCCGCTGGTGTTGTGAGGGCCCGCCCTCACAGAGTTCTAAGGGTCTGAGCTAGTTTGCAAACTTCCTGCAGAGGAGAACTTGGCCTTCAGGGATTGCAGGGGAAGAGAAGGATATCTGGTGGCACAGCAGTTAAGCCCGTGCCTGAGAAGCAAAAAAAAGGTTGGCAGTTTGGACTCCCCTGTGGTTCCACGAAGAAAAGGCTGCAGTCTGCTTCCATCTGGGGAACCCTGTGGGGCAGCTCTGCACGTGGGGTAGACAACCCATGGGGTCACTGTGAGTTGTTTGGAATCAACACAATGTTTTGGTTCTGATTGGTGTTTAGGGAGAACAGGGAAGAGAGGGAGCCTGCTCTATAGAGATGGAAGTCCCGGCATGGCTGGAGCCTAAAATGTGTGGCTGGAGGAGGGGCCCCGAGCTGGAAAACAGCTGTCAGATGTTTAACTTCCGAGTCTGTGTCAGGCGTTAGTTAGTCTCTGGGCAGTGGCGACCAGCTGGGATGGGAGCTAGGCAGTGCCAAGCTTGCATCGGGGAGACAAATGGCCGGGTCAGTCCCATCAGGTTGGGCTGTAAGATTCCAGCACTTCAAAGAACGAAGAGATGCAGCCCAACTTAAAAAACGAATTCCAGAACATGCCCACTGCTTGTCTCCCTGGCCACCCATGACCCTTGTGCTGATAGACTGCATTTCCTCCTCCTCCTTGGTTTGAAAACATGCAGTCAAGGAAGGTGACAGCCGGATGCTCTGCTCTCAGTCAACAGTAGAGGCCAGCTGCTGGCATCCAGGTTTCTGGGTAGGGTTGGCACTGATGGGCAGGAGCATGTGTCTTTGAGCTGAAGTGTCGGTGACCAGGAAGCACTGTTGAACTTCACAGTGGATTAAGTCAACTTTGCAATCACACATGAAGTTTATCGTTTCACTTGTTCATTTGACAAACGCTTGCTCTGTGAATATCTACCTCTGCCAAAGCTTTGGCCAGTTCCTGCGAGCTCCATAAAGGAGCCTTCCTTGGTGGGGCAGTTGTTCAGTGCTTAGCTGCTCACCAAAAGGTTGGCTGTTCAGACCCACCAGCTGCTCTGTGAGGGAAAAGATCGAGGCAGTCTGCACCCAGAAAGACTGGACCTTTACAGCCCCGTGGGACAGCCCTGCTCTGGGTGGGTTGCTCTGAGTTGGAATTGACTTGGAGTTGGGTTTCTTCTGGTTGGAGAGTTACATTTGTAGCAAGAGCGGCTATGTGCTACTTACATTCTCAAGGCATGGGTGACCATTAAACTGCCTAGCAATTGAAGTCATTGGAGGTTGTGATCCGTATTTTGAAAGGCAGGAGGCAAGTGACACGATAGAGGAGAGGGGGGTCCTTGTAGTGGCCTGGTCAGGGAAAGCCCTCCTTATTCGACTGAGGAGGAAACCCCAGCTGTCATTTGTGAAGAGCTCCACACTTCCTCCTGCTGACCAGGTGCATCCATCAGCTAAAGTGATCAGAGAGCACTTCCAGAGACCACAGCGCGGGTGGTGGCCAGGGGCTGAGAGAGGCCGAGGTGGTGGTCACTACAACCAGCCGGACTGACTGGAGGTCCAGGGGGCAACTTAGAGACCCTGAGGCTGCTGAAGGGCACCAGCCAGGTCACTAAGGCACTGTGAATCAGTGCCACTCGGGCTGCAGCCTGAGGAAAGGGAACGGAGAGGTTGGGAAGGGGCAGGTTGGCCCCACAGGAGTGGTGCTGGGGGAGTGGATGAGAGGGGAGAAGCTGGGCCTATACATTGGGGCGCTTAGCTCGGGAGGGGTGGGCAGGCTTGATTGGGGGAGAGGGTCAGAGAAAGCAGCAGGCTGGTTGATGCCCCATTTCTGGCTTGAATCAGCCACCGTGCAGGAAGGCAGGCTTTTTCTAGACAGCATTCATTTAAAAACCACAAAACCAAACCCACCGCCATCTGGAAAGATTAAATCATTCCCCAGGGCTTGAAATTCCAACTCGGGTCTTTCTCTTTTTTTAAACGTTTGTTTTCTTTCTCGGTACAGTCAAATGCACCGATGTTAGGTGTTGTCTTCGGTGAGCTCTGACCACCTGTGCCACTGCGACAGCAAGCCAAGGTCCCGAGCATGTCCCTCTCCCCCCTGGACTCTCCTCTCTTACCCTCTGGACCTCCACACAACCCCTCCTGACTGTCAGACTCAGCGACCTGTTTCTGAAGTTCATGTAAACAGGGCCACACAGCCTGCATCCAGGAATCTTGCTGCTTTTGCTGACTTCAAGGATGTGGGCACATCCGTGTGGTTGTATAAGTATTCATTTTTTTCATGGTAAACCAAAACCCATTTCCAGGGAGTAGATCCAGTCACACAGCGACCCTACAGGACAGAGTAGAGCTGTCCCTGTGGGTTTCCGAGACAATACATCTTTACCAGAGTAGAGAGCCTCATCTTTCTCCTGAGCAGTGGCTGGAGATTTCAAACAGTTGACCTTGCTATTAGCAGCCCACTGGGCTCCTTTATTGTACTAAACCTGTACAATAGACGCATTTGCCACTTCAACATTTTTTATTTGTGGTTCTTTGACAGTATTAAGCTCATCATATCCCGCCCTCGCCACTCTCCATCTCCGGGTGTTTCTGCCACCCTGAAGAGAAGGGCATGTCCCCTGAGCAGCCCCCCAGTAGCCAGTAATGAACTTGGGTCTCTAGATTCTCACCTGCCCAGGCAGTTCAAAGACGTGCGTTCCTACAGCGTTTGTCTCTGTGACTGACTGACTTCACTCTGCAGAATATGCTCATGGGAACTCAGGTCTGTTGGACACTGGTCATTAACCACAGCCCCGCTTTTCCACAGCAGGGAGTATGGGTGGGCCGCGGGGTGGGCGGGGTAGATGGTGCTGGGGCTTCTCTGCAGGTGGAGGAGCTGTTAGATGCCCCGGGTCAGTTCCAACTCATCTCAACCCATCTGACCGAGAGGACCACCTCGTATGGTTTTCCCAGCCACACGGAGCCACTGGGTGGGCTCAGACCAGCGGTCTTTCCGTGAGCAGCTTAACCAGTACACCCCCATGGCTCCTGGAGGCGGGATATGGGGAGGTAACAAGCCAGAGCTTCAAAGGACCCTTTGTGGGTCTAAAGTATTTTTCTCAAACTTCACTTAGGCTGGGCAGGGATGGCTGCCCCTCCTGCCTGACTGGTGGGCGGGGACCACCCAGTGCCCTGATGCTGACCTGTCTGTGAGGCCTCCAGGCAGAGAGGCAGTGGGCATGGGCCTGGACGCCTCTGATGGCTGGGACTCGCTGGCTCCCAGTGCCCTTTAGAAAACGTGCCGGAGACGGCCACAGGCTGTACTGTTAATCCAGCATTTTTACCTCGTGACACTGACTCCACCAAGATGCGTGCAGGCTGTTCTGTGTTGTCTGTGAGGATGGTGACATGAGGACGTTTGGGATTATCCATCCACTGTGTGCCTCACTGTTTTTGTTGATCCTCATTAAGAAGTGTGCTTTGGGGGAGTGCTTAATGGCCTGGGTGTGATGGGTTATGAGTAGCTTTTATTGACTGGACTCCTTTGCGCTTTCCTGTACTCGTACATCTCCTATAGTGAGCGTTTATAAGATTCCATCTTTTAAATTACACAGGATAAGAATTCAGTGGATCCCTGGTGAGGCCGCTCACAAGCACTTAGCTAGCCCAGAGGCTGGCATTTGGAGCCCACCAGAACCTGCGCAAGGAAAGAGCTGGTGATTTGCGCCCAGAAAGATGGCTGTGGTTTGGGGCCCACAGAGCAAAACACCGCCTGCTCCTCCGCCATCCTCACAACTGTGGACGTTGGAGCCCAGGTCGCAGCCAGACCATCTGTTGAGAACACGTCCAGCCAGAATATGAGAGACAAAGTCTCAGCAGCTGTACGCCTTCCAACGCAGGCTGATTTGTTCTTCGGGCAGTCCACGGCGTACTCAGTATCCCCCTACCACCGCAATTCACCCGCATTGCTGCCTCTCCAGTCTTCCGTGTGGAGTGCTGGAAAACACCGTGGCTTTCGGCTTTGGGGCCCCTTAGTCCTCAGACTGACATCTTTGCTCTTTCACTGTTCCAGGAGGCCTTTTGCAGCAAATCGGCCCAGTGCGATAAGTGGTTTGATTTCTTGGCTGCTGCCTCCATGAGTGTTGATGATCATCTGGGCGACCTGACGGGGCGGCCTGCACCACTGTCCCCCAGGGCTGCTGGGAGTCGGAATCCTCTCGAGGGCACCCAACAGGGCTGGAGCAGGCCGGCGAGCACTGGTTAAAGGGCAACATGCTGTGCAAGGGCTGAGAGTCTTTCCGAAGGGAAGCCGAGCTCCCAGTGCACAGAGGCATGGGTCTGTGTGTGGCACAGATGCCAGGCTCCGAGCTCCCAAGAAGCTGTGCAACGCTGGGGTTGGTCTGTCTCCTTGGTACAGTGAGCAGCTTCCACATCCGGGATTGGCTTACACATCTCCTGGGACAGAATGTCTTTCCTGTTCCTTCCACACCCCATCCATCCTGGCAGGCTTCCTGGCACAGTTGTTGCCAACGGAGCCTTGTCCCAGCTGCCATTAATCCATGCTGGGCTCGCCCTCTTCTCTCCAAGGCCAGAGCCCAGCTCCTAATCCCACGTGGCCTCATACTTCTCCTCTCTGCTCACTTGCTCCTCTGGCCAGAACAAAAGCTCTTTGAGAATAAGAACTCCATTTTAAAAATATTGCTTTATATACTTTCCACCTCTCCGTAGACTGTACCCCCACATGAATCAGAAGGATCAGTCCATATTAAAGTGCATTTTGAACTAAAAGTGCTCAAAAGCAATCCAAACAACACCCCGAGTGTGGATTGTTTTCTCTCTTGAATCAAGCCCCAGCTGTAATTCTTCCCCACTTGGAAGGTCTCGGTTCCTGCTCTGATGCATCGCTTCTTTGGGCCATGACTGGGCACTGGGAGAGTGACCGTGCCTTGTTCTTCAGCCCCCAGGTCTCCCTCGATGTCCAAGTTCCCTTCCTCCCTGAGGACCATCCATGGAAACCTTGGCCATGGCATCGCCCTCAGAGCCCGTGACCTTCCGAGAGTTCTGCCCTCTGTATTATCTCCTCAATGCCATTCCCACAAAGATCCAGAAGGGCTTCCGCTCCATCGTGGTCTACCTCACGGCCCTCGACACCAACGGGGACTACATCGCAGTGGGCAGCAGCATCGGCATGCTCTACCTGTACTGCAGGCACGTCAACCAGATGCGGAAGTACAACTTCGAGGTGAGCCTGGCTTTTTCTTCAGCTTCACGGGTGCCTGAACCCCCGAGGGTATCCAGGCTGCTTCCTCACTCGGACCGCAGAGCCTCACCAAGGCCGCGGGTTAGTTATGTATCCATTTGTAACTGTTTGGAGCCAGTCCCTGTGCTACAAAACCCTGCAGCCCTTTAGACTGTCACTTTCCCTCTGTGGTCACCACTCGGTGTGTCTATCTGATTGAGAAGGAAGCTGGAGGGTGTTCAAGGTGTGAGACCTATCTCTCTCTCTCTCTCTCTCTCTCTCTCTCTCTCTCTCTCTCTCTCCCTCTCCCTCTCTCCCTCTCTCTCTCCCTTCCTCTTACGTGTGCAGTGTAAACACACAGGGGAAACCTACGAAACAAACAGCCCGACCTCATCAAATACTGACAGTCTGCATCTCAGGAACCTCCCTTTGTAGCTGGCTGCCCTTCCTTTCTTAAGCATCTCACCGGGGCAGTTCTTTAAAACCATCTTGAATCAACTAGGGGTTGGGACTCTTTGCTTGTTTTCTGCCCTCAGAAATCAAACATTAGTGTAAAAGAGAAGAATTTCACGTTTGGAGGAGCCCTGGTGCCACAGCAAGTAAGCACTGGGCTGCTCACCAAAAGGTCTGCGGTTTAAACCCACCCGCTTCTCTGTGGTTGAGCAATGCGACAGTCTCCTTCCCGAAAGGTGGTGGTCGTCCTTGGTGGCTGGTTAGGTGCCAACAAGTCGGTGCTGCCTCACAGCGACCCAATGTACCGCAGAAAGAAGCACTACCTGGTCCTGTGCCAGCCTTACAATTGTTACGTTTCAGCCCAGTTGCAGCCTGGGAAGCCTCGGGGCCAGTTCTCCTCCGTTCATGGGGTCTGGATGAGGCGGAATAGACTCACCATGAAGCAGCAGCAGCAGAACCGCTTTGAAATAGATTGGTTTTTAGGCATTTTTTCCTCCCAGTGCCTTGAACTGACCAAGCTTGTTATTCTGTCCCTGACATGATGGTGAAAGAAGAGCAGTCTCAGTGTGCAGAGCTTAAACAGAAGCACTTCTACGTGACACTGACATTGGAACCAGGACTGATCGCCCGTCTCTGATGTTGCCCGACTCCGGTCTACCTGTGTGCGTAGTTGTGGCTGTGAGTGAGATCGCCATCTAAGTAGGTTAGGCCTGACCCCAAATATTGATGTCCCATAGCTGGGTTTACCCACGCAGTCGGTATCTGTAGTGTGTTGAATACACAGCGTTTGTGAGGCCCAGCAATGTGGTCGGTGGCCCCACCCTGGCAGAGCTCAGGGCCCCATGGGACTCTGTTCTGTGGTTCATGGGCTTCTACGGCCAAGCTGGGGCTTTTGTATTTGGGAAAAATGTTTACAAACAACTTGTGTCTTATTTAGTATTCCACTTGTTAACACTGCAATCTGCAAAGGCAGCTTTTTTTTTTTTTTAAGACTTTATGCCCAATTTTAAAAAACAAAAATGGCTAGTGTACGCATAGCACTTACCACGTGCCCGGCATTATTCTAAACGTTCCATACATTGGCTCCATTCATCCTCACAAAAGCTTCATGATATATATATGCAATCACTGTTCTTTCTGGCCCTTTACTCAGTGACAGTGATCGCCTGCTTCTCTTCATGAAACACAGAAGCTCATTTCACCACCACTTTGTTGTCACCTTTTTCTCTTCAAAGCGTTTTATTGTGAATTAGGTGAAGGCTTACAGAGCTACAACTATTTTTAAAAAGACTTTAGCCACCTAGTGAAAGAAACTGGAGTCGTGCCCCCCACTCCCCCACCCCTAGAGTGAAATGGAAAGCCGAATCCCCCAGTTTGACAGTTCTCCCTGGGACTCATTTTCTCTTCGTCATGGGATGCGGCCTGTGCGCTTTGAACAAAATGATGAGCTAGGGCAGCTGCCTCGGTCACCCAGTGGCCGGGGAAGTCACTGCAGACTCCTGGACCTGGCCGCCAGAAGGAAAAGCCCATATAAAGACGGTGACCGGCTCTCCCTTGCTGAGGGGACCTTTGTGAAACAAGTGGGGGAGTGGAGGGTTGCTGGGCCAGACTCCACACTCAGCAGAGCCCAGTCTATCAAGCTAATCCTGGGAGCACGCATTGTTCTTGAAATACAAAATGTATAAGTATAGATCATTATAAAGAAGTAAAGATGAACATCTGTTCCGGTGAATCTGGAATGAAGATTTGAGAACAGTTCTGTAGCTTCTATAAAACACATAGGACTTGGTCTGGCAGAATCCCTCATGCTGTTCACCTGCTACAGGTGGGAGTGAGCATGAGAGGAAGGGGCTCCAGGAGGAAATGTGCAGAAGTATCCTCCCCGCCCCCCTTGTGGAACTACTGGACTTTTTGGCAATAGGAATATCTTCATGGATTCCTGAGCTGCAGCAGAGATGGTTTGGGAGCCCTGGCTGTCAGTGATTAGCTTTGTGATCCGGAGACACATTGAATAGTTACGTTATTGTTACTCTTGTCATCAGAGCTGGCTGGATCTGAGAAGCATCTAGTAGACTTCTCATCGCTGACAGATAAAGACACTAAGGTTCCTGCCTGTTGTGGATTCAATTTACATTGTCATCCGAGCCCTGCCGTGGTTGTGATGTCCCTTGAGAATGGGTGTTCTTTGTTCATGTCAGTGAAGGAGTATGGGTGTAGGGTGTGAGGTGACATCTAGCAACGACATTTTAAGTTATAAAGAGGAGAAAAAGCAACTGAAGGTGCAGCCGGAAATGAGGAATATGTGCCATGCCCAGGAAGGAGCACTAAAGAGCCAAGGAATAGAAGCTGACAAGAGACCAGGGCCTTTTCTGACAGAGTGCTCGTGCATGCGTCTGGAGCCAGCGCCCGGATTGCAGAGGTCCAGCCTCCTGAACTGTGAGAAAATGCATGTCCGTCCCGGAAAGCCACCTACTTGTGGTGTTCCGACTAGAGCAGCCCTCAGGAGCTAGGACATGCCTCCACAGCCCATGAGCTGGTCTCATCACCATGGTGCCCCTTCCTGAGAGAGAAGGCAAGTCTACCACGACCACCTCTGCTTTCAGAGGACAAGGAAACCAGAGGCTCCTTTAGACCCTTCACCCAGTTTACTGTAGGGAAAATTTGGTCTTTTATGAGAAAGTAATGAAAAATAAATTTCCTGCTAAATCTGTGCTTGGCATGGAGGAAAGACCTTTTTTTTAAAAAACAAACAAACATGTTTTTAAGTGACGTTCCTGAAGAAGAAAATGGATCTTTTAGTGGTAGAGCTAGTCGGCATCCATGTTGGTTTTCTGCAGAAGTCAGTGGGAGAGGACAGATGGAAGTATCAGAAATTATTCTACCTGGTGCCTAGGAAAATGTGAGCAGCTAATAACAAGTGCAAAAACATTGCAAACATGTTAACATCTGTGAGTGCAACCTGTGTTGAGAACAGACCAGAAAGACGCCCTGCCTTGGATTGCCCACTGTGTGTTGAAATTCACATTCTTCTTAACATTCAGCAGCCTGTTGAAATGTTACGGGTTTGCCTTCAGAACTGTCCGTGCACTAACCATGGCAGTGATGCATGATGGCAGAATGCTGGGTCTCATTCCTGCGGCTTCTCCAGGCTGGCTTTCCGAAAAGTTCATTAATTCTGTCAGTAACTGTGGAGTGCTGCATCTATGGGCCAGACTCTTTCTAGGCCCTGGAGATAGCCCTCGTAGAGCTCCAAGCCCAATGGGGAGAGCCAGACCAAGAAGTCTGCCAGATACGTGCACTCACGGACACAGACAAGGTGGGGAGGAGTGCTGAGGGGGAGAAGGCAGCAGAGGAAACTGCAGGGAGTTTTCAGCAAACTGCTATGCCCGTCTCTGGAGTCCGAGGACAGGGAACCTGGGGCTTTCTCAATGCCCATGATCTCTTTGGAACTGCCAAATGAACATTAAGAACTGCAGCAACTGCTTTAGTGAAACTGTGACGTGTTGCTTGAAGGCACGTGGTGTGCAGGGAGGAAGTTCAGGAAGAGCTGAGCACAGACCTCGCCAGAGTGGCTGGCACCCGTGCTGCTAAATCTGGTGGGAGACTCCTGACGCAGGGAGGACGTGCCCTGGGTTGGGGACATGTCTGGGATATTTTCTACTCGGCAAAGTCATGGCTTCAGAATGCTATGGCTGCTTCATCGATTGATTCTGTGTGTGTGTGTGTGTGTGTGTGTGTGTGTTGCTATTGCACTATCGTCACCTACACAGTTCAGTGACATTCATTCCGTTCACCATATTGTGTAACCATCACTGCTGGGCAGTTTCCAGTTTTTTCATCGGTGCCACCTATGCCATTTAAGCAATGAGCTTCTCTTCCTCCTCCCACCCCCCCACCCCACATGGCCTCTAATAACCACCAATGAACTTTGGTCTCTGCGTTTGCATGTTCTAGATAATTCATCTAAGTGGTTTTATAGGATAATTGTTCTCACTCAGCACAGTGTTTTCCAGGTTCAGCCCTGTGGGGGGAGGTGACAAGACTTCATTTCTCCTTATGGCTAAATCATATCCCACACTCGTTGAGCCGTTCATCTGTAGACGGACACTCGGGGGTTTTCCACCTTTGGACCTTTGTGAATGATGCTGCTGTGACCATTGGTGGATAAAGATCTATGTTCCCACTTTCAGTTCTTTCGGGATATAAACCCAGGACTGAAATGGGGGGTGGGTGTCATATGCGAAGTTTCCATTACTCTCTCGGAGAAGCTGTCCAACTGTGTGGACAGTAGCTGGTCATTTTACAGTTCCGTCAACAATGGCCGAGGCTTCCACGTTCTTCACGTTCTTGCTAAATATCATGTTCCCTTTCCCTGATAATCAGCATCCCGGGAGGTGAAGAGCTATCTCTTGATAATATGGTTCTCGTTTCCCGATGGTCCCAATTGGAATCAACTCAAAGAAAATGAGTTTGGTTTTTTGAATGAGCCCCAGTGGCGTAGTGGTTTTGCGCTGGACTGCCAACCATAAGGCCAGCAGCTTAAAACCACA